AGATATTTTTTCAAAGGATTAAAATATTTGGACAATATGTGTTGTTTTTAAATGAAATGGATAACATAGTAAATTATTTTGAAAATTTTAAAATAAAGAATTTATATACATATATTTATAATTAAAAGATTAAAAAACAGCAAAAACATTTAAAAACAAAATGACATCAATATCCAAAGAAAAAATTGAAATAATGTTTATATCATTATGTTTTGTTTTGTTTTGTTTTTTTCTATTATTTTAATAGACCTAGCATCAGAGACAAAAATTAAAACAGATTTTTAAATTGGCAAGAAAATTTCACTTTTACTATTCAATTTTTTTTTGTTAATATACAAAAAATCAGTGAGAATAAGTTATTTTATTTTAGTCTAAACTGTTAATTTGGTCAAGATAGAAGAGGAATTTAGCCACATGTCAACAGGGTAGTGTAAGGAACCTTTTCACATAAATTATTTTGATAGTGGCATATATTTGTTAATATATATATATAGACAACCTTTTAGATATTGATGATGAAAAATATTGATATTAATCAGAAATTGATTTTGTATTAAGAAAATAGAATAGTAAAAAAAAAAACAATGTCTTACATAGATAGATGACTTCAGTAGCAGTTTGTACTTTTATTCCAAGGGCTGAACTTTACGTCCATCATCCAAAACATCATTCATAATGTTGGGGAATTTATTTTTTATGTTGCAGTTCTATCAGCACATCTTGTTCTGCTTGCCAATAGCATTTGGACAATACCAGACCAATAAGTAGTCTGGTAAGATGGATGCATTGGATCTGGCCTGATCAGGATAATATTTCTGGAACATTGCAGCCAATGGATAAAGGTATGTGGTTTTCTGGTATCAATGAAATGTCTGATGGATGATGGAAAGCAGTAATTGGGATAGCAACGGTGACTGCATAACACAATGACAATAAGTAAATGTGGTGGATCTTGATATCAGTGATGCATATGTGCAGCATTTAACATATTCGTCTTTTTAAGATTAACTGCCAATGTCAAAAGATGTGACTGTTCTTTTGCAGACTGGGTGACTACCACTATCCTTGACCATAAAAATCAGATGATGGAGCCAGCATCTTGATGGCTAAGAAAAATTGTTGATTGAAAGATAAAAACCAGTATACTGATTGATGGCAAACAATATCTGTTTATCATTGCCTTCAGTTATTTCTTATTTAAGAAATGCATTCTCTTGACTTTCACTATCGGCAGCCTTGAGAAGTCCTTGATATTCTAACATATGATGGGGATGATATTTCACATCCAGATTGTAAGGATTAACACTGGGAAATGTAAAATATGGAGCATTATCATTTTTATCTTCAATTCCACAATCACATTGACCATATTTATTTCCTGATAATATTCCATTATCTTTCACTAAAACCTTGAGACTTATAAATGTCTTTGAACTCATGGTCAAGAGACATGATTGTACAGAAATCAAACCATTTCGGCTTATTTGAAAGGTGTAAAATAAAAATTTTTGGTGAGCAAATGAATATTGAGTTTACTCAGCTAAACTGAAATTTTAAGGATCAGTGGCATTGATAGAACCAACTGGTGTTTTTGGAATTTCATTTTTAATAACAGAGAATTTAAAAGGGGTTTTTTAAATTGTATATGTACATCATTGAAATCTTTCACTTTGATGGAGAATTTTTAAAACTATGAAAAGGAGGAGAATTCATCTTGCAATTAATTGTAACATCATATTTATTTTTTTTTTCTGTCAAAACTGTTTTCAATGTCACTTCATATTTACTTTGAAAAATTCAGTTTCTGTAATCGAATTTATCATGGTGCATATCACAGTTCACTTCTCCATTTTGTCCAGCATCATGGGTCTGTCACTTTGACATAAAATAAACTTCCCAGCTCAAAAAAAAAAAAAATATATAGTATTGGAGTCGCATTCTGAATGAATGTCACAAATATATTATGATCGGTCTGTTTTGAGCATTTATTACATGAATTAAAATGATTTAAAAAATCTCAGTGGGGGTGACCCCATCTACTGCTCCAAAAAAAAAAAAAAACATAGCTTTTTGATTTGAAATTTATTTTTTTAGAAGTAAATTAACTCCATTTATATTGTTTAATTCAAAGCATTTTTATCGTCTTTCAGATGTTAGTGATCTTATATAATAAATTCTTGACATTTTCTCCATCATCCAGATCTGTTGCAGACATCACAGCAATTGGTGTAGAACATAGAATTTTTTTTTAAATTGATATGTTAATTTGCCATGAAAATATTGGTGGGTTATCATTTATGTTTCCATGAAATATGAACATGCAAATGTGTTTGGTAAAGAGGGAGATCCTCCATTTTGCAATTACTTGTATATTGTACTTGTCTTTTTTTTCTCGAACAAGTTTTTTTCTTCAACAGAAATTTTAATTTGCTCTTCCAATTTAGTTTCAAAAAATAATGTAAAAGGTTCATTTTCATTTTTTCATTTTATAAGTTATTTTTAAATTAATGAAATCAACATCTTTGTCAATGCAATTGCAAAATTGAGGACAAACTTTAATCATCAATTTTTCAGAAATTCACGAATTTGTTTTTTTCTGGAAATTTTTAATTATCATTGATAAAGTTTTATGATTATTTTGATTTTTATAATTTTTATGAAAGTGTATTCCTTGTATTTTTTTAGCCACATCAACCATTTTTAAACATTCTGTATTATAAATTTATATAATTTTTATTTTCAAATGGCAGTAAAATTTTCCTTTTTCTGAGAAAATACATGAATAACCTGGATGAACTCCATCCCCTTCCTTTTTAACACCAATGAAGGTAATCAGGCTTTTATTTTTCCAAAGAAATATCATCCATGACTGGGAATAAAGCTGCAATATCTAAAGGTAGGTTTTAAACTTTTTTTTCATCAACATTGTAAGATTCATATGTTGTTTTGAAATGAGTTGTAAGATTGATAACATATATATATAATAAACATTTATTATCTTCTCTAAATATAAGATTATATAGCTGGAAATAAAAAGATATAGATTTCAAAAATTTAACAAAATCATTTGATTTTTTTTTTTTTTTTAAATCAGCTGAATATATATATATATTATATATATTTTTGTTAAGAAAAATAATGTTAATTATTAATAGGAAAAAATTTTCAAGTACCTTTGTGTAATATGAACCAAAAACAAATAAAATTAGAAAAAAAAGGATTTTTTCAACGTTGAAAACTTCATTTATTTGAGTAAATTTAATGAAAAAACCTAAGATCAAATGATTTATAAATATGGACAGTTTATTTGAATTCAGTGGAGTACAGACATTGGAAACGAGGTATGAGACAGGGTCGAATACCTGAAATTTGGGGTAGCACCCTGCGTTAGTTTTGAGATAAGCTATATTGACACATTTTTTTTCTAAGACAGTAATCATTGAAAAACTAATTTTGTAAGAAAAATGAAGACATTTTGAGGAAATATTTATTATTTATATTATTTTATATATATTATAAATTGCTGTAAAGTTATTTATTAACAATGAAAACAAACTTTAATTATGGGTTTTGCACAAAGTGTTTTTGAAATTCATTAAGGAATACCTTCACAAAAAAAGTTAATTATTCTTGAAACACTATTTGGAATATATGGAAAATTGACCCCCGAAAGAAAACAAAAAAATGGCAGCAAAGGAATTGAGCTCCAAAAATGAATGACAAATTCTTTCTAGGAGGAGGTTACTTTTAATTGTTTTAGTTTGGAAGTGGATCTTTGAGAGATGTAAAGAAATTTACTTAAGACATTAGGGATTATTTCCTTGCAAAGTAGGTAGTGCAGATCCATTGGGAATGGGGGTTGAGAAAAGTGAGATAATAAACCAATATCTTTCTCTCTCTCTCTCTCTATATATATATATATATATATATATATATATATATATATATAATATTCTGCTGGGGCACTGTTCATATCATTTCTTTGCAAGCAGGTAGAATTAAAGATTCTGCAATTGCATTTGGTTTCATTTCTTTTGCAATAAAAGAAATTGTGAAAAATTGAACAAAATCACAAAATGAAAAAAAATGAAAGATAATCACGAGAGAAAAAAAACTGCATTTAAAAATACCACAAAAAATGAATTTTGAGAAAAATTAAAGTAATAAGCAAAAAAAGTGGATTGATCAGCAAGAAGAAAATTGAAGCTAATGACGTGAATGTAAACAGAGAGAAAAGATGCAGAATATTAAGAACATTAACTAAACATATAAAAGCAACCAAATTAGTATATTTAAGTAAATAGCACCAAGAGAAATGAATAAGTTAAATGATGAGTTACATGAATTTGATTTCTCAACCATAATTATTAGTGATGAAAATAGAGTGACATCGGATGGGCCTGATAGCTGTGTAAGTGGTTGAGTCTTTCATAGAAATAATCCATAAACCTAATTTAGAATAAAATAACAGGAAGCCCAGTAATGTTTTGGGTTAATATAGGCAGTAAAATTATAAATCTCTTCAAAGTTGATAATAGTTATGAAGATAAATGCAGAGAATTATTGTAAGTCTTTGGGCAAAATGTTTTTGGAGTGGTACATGTCACAATGAAGAAGCTTTAAGTTAAAGAACCTTAAGACAATGCTTCTATACATTCTGAAAAGCTGACTTTGTTGACTATTACCCAAAGAAGGTTTCAAAGACATTAAATTAATATAATGACCAAAGCCTGTTTAGATATTAATTGAATAAAACACTTGTGATTCATCATTCAGAAATATTTTTTTTTTAGATTGTAAGAATTTTTTTGTAGATAATAATGATTTACTGATACAAGTTTTACTAATTAACCAATAGCTGGGGGGAGAAGAGGTGGATTCATACCTTTCCCAAGTGAATATGCGTGTAAGTGAATATAATGAATTCAACTAGAATTGGAACTCAGTTCTCTGATTTCAAATTCCAAGCTATTATTCATTACACCACCCACACATCCAAGCTTACAGCACATGGTATTCCCAAGCAGTCACCCATCTAGGTACTGACCAAGCTTGACCTTGCTTACCTTCAGTGATTGTATGAGAAACAGTATTTCAACATGATATGGCCATAATCCAAAAAAGGTTATAGAATATCAAGGAGTCGATATTGACATGTAAAATAATAATTTATTCAGGTATGTAGGATTATATATATATATATATATATCTTCAAATGAGAGAAAGAATAGATGGAGAAAAATTCCATTGTTCATAACATTTACTTTTAAAAAAGTGCTCAATAGAAAGTAGAGCAATATACTATTATTATTTTTATAAGAGATTATAATAAAAACATGTTGAAATCACTACACAAAAAGCTTTCATTTTTTTAAATACTACCACCCTCTGACCTTACTTTTCTATTTAGCATAGATCTGACATTTAATTGCTTAATCAAGACATACCCACAAGTCTGTTTTTAATTCTGACCTTATGTTTCTCCCTTTAACTTTCAGAGAAGAGGTGACACTTTGTTTTTAAATTTCCTTAAAAATCATTTAATCACCAGTTACCATCGCCTAAGTACAATCATAGTATTGAAACATGAAAGCTTTTGTGTAGCGTTTTCAACCTGTTTTTATTATAATCTCTTATAATAATATATGTGTGTGTGTGTGTGTGTGTGTGTGTGTACTTATATATACAGGGTATATCAAAAATACTTTTACAAAATTTGGGGATGGGTTCCTTACACTAAATAAGGACAAAAGTTATTATAAACATATACCTGCAAATCCTTTGTTTTTGAGTCTATGTTTAAAGAGAGTTTACAGATAGTGCATGAAGACATTCAGTATTTCTCCTACAAGATGAGAAAGGGCCAATTTTTATCCCAAGCCATGACAGACAAGTGGAAAGACTGCACTATGGAGCTTTTGAACAAACTTAAGCATCTCCTCCAACTGAACATGCTTCGGTTTTTCTCAAAGAAGAAAAATTTCTGCCAGGATAAGATGGTGACCAACCACTGGCTTGCTGTGTTTCCAAAAGATGTACCAAGAGTGATGAAAAACAAATACCGAGTCAGTATCATGGTGTTTAGAGTGATCCCTAGGGATGTCAAAATTATGCCTCCATTAATCTTTCCACAGGGCCTCAGGCTCAACACAGAGGCCTACATCGAGTGCCTTGATGAAGCAGTGCTTCTCAGAGTCTTGAGAGTGGCTGCTGGAAGACCCTATGTCTGCCAACAGGACTCTGCACCGTGCCACACAAACAGGAAAATCCAGTCATGGCTGTCAGACAATTTCTGTGACCAAATCACCCCTTACATCTGGCGACCTAACTCCCCAGACTGCAACCCCCTTGATTTTTATGTGTGGGGTGCAGTTGAGTGACAAAACTTCTCGTAACACCAAAGATCAACTGAAGGTAAGGATTATTGTAGCATTCATCAACTTAAATAAGGAGACCACCCAGAAGAGATGCAGGAGATTCCAAAGTCGCCTGGAGGCTGTGGTTGAAGACAATGGTAATTTTATTGAATAAATTTACACTTTAGTATTTCAAGATATTTTTGTGTAATTTTGGTAAATATATCTGTTAAAATGAGATGTCAGTGTTATTTTTATTTTTGCATAATTGAGACAATTTATCCATTGCACCGTGTGTGTGTGTGTATGCGTACATGTGTGTAGAATGTTTATTTTTTCCATGACTTGTAAGTATTTGTATGCTTTGGGAAGCGTAGTGTAAGGCTATTATAAGAGAATCTGTTTGTTAACCATAACTTTTAGACCCAGCATCTCTTCCACTATGACATGTCATAATAGATAAAGTTTACCTGAATTGAGTGGTACATCCGTATCTGACTCGCCACTGTAAGGGCTGTTGTTGTTGTTGCTATTGTTCTTCTTGCTGGTGTCTCGTTGCTGTTGCTTTTGTTGAAGTTGATGAGCTTTGCCTGGGGACAATGTCCAGTTGTAAAGTGGGTCATAGAGCAACACTTGCAGAATGGTCAGCAGTGATTGTTGGTTGTTGTGCATCACCAACATTGTCTTTTCACAACACCTTGAAGAAAGCCACAAATTGTTTAAGTGAAATGAACAGAAAAAGTAATGGGGGAAAAAAAAAATGTTTTATCAATATTCTTCTTTTTGAAGATTTCAACTAAAATTTATTTACACATTGCACAGGCCTTACAAAATAATGGATTCTGAAAACAGGTAAATGCCAAGAGGACTTAATCAATTAAGCGCATCAGTAGATGCCAAATGGTAGAAAATTCATTTGTCACACCAATGGGCATAAAAAATATTGGCTTCGTTAAAAGTTCAAAGATTTTTTTCCTTTATTTCAATTTATATTGTTTTTTTTTTTTTGTTGTTTTGTTCAAACCTCATTTCTACAGGCACCACACCCCTTTATATTTATCTCTTACTAAGTTGCATGCAAATAGTTATAAACTTATGAATTTTATTTGTGGAGGTGAAAGAAATTGGTTCATGACATTACTATTCTACATAGTATCACAAATGAAGTACTTAATTAACTTAAGTAGTAATATCGCCAACAGCACAAATATCATGTCTGCAGAGTCAAATCACTGTCATTTCTTATTTATTTAAATTGTAAGTAGGAATTTTCATTTAGACAGATTTTTCCCATGAAGTTGTTACTTTGTAGAACAGACTCCTACATGGATGCTTTTCTGAACACCACAATCTTAACCTCTTCGAGTTGAGGGTCAATCATTATCTATCCTTCTTATCATCATAATCTTCATATTCTACTACTTCCTCTTACATTCATATCACACTCATATATCATATTCAGCAACCCTCTACCTTCAGTGGCTCATCGTAAAAAAAAAAAGAAAAAAAAAAGGAAAATGGTGCAAGTTATTAAAATTATTTTTATGAAGTTTCAATCTGAAAAACCAAGACAGCAGCTTCATTACATTGTATCAAATCTTGTCATCTGCTTTTTGCCTTCTGTTCTTTAATGACTATCTTTCAGTATTGAACAGTGTAAGAAAATATTAATAGAAAAACAAAATTTCAATGAATTTGTCACCAAACAAACAAAATTTGCCATTAAGAATTTTGTTAAATTTATAGAAAAACAACAAACAAATAAAAAATAGAAAACAAAACTTATTTACAATGAAACAAACAATTATGTTTTCCAAAATGAATGGTGCCGGGCACATTTTGGCATGAAATTGGGTACAGAAGCAAGCAGAATTTTATTTAAAATCCTAATGCAGATATATGCAGTTCTTGAGAGTATTTCATTTCAAGAAGTGAACAAAGTTAGATTTTACTGACTTCTAGAATTTCACACTTGTCAATTTCAACAGAAAAAAAAAAAACAAAAACAGAAAAAGAGTTCAGGACTTACCTCCGGAAAATTCCCTCAACACCAGATACCCCCATGCCATCCACAATGTCTCTTGTCAGCCGGAAAGGAACTGTTTCAGGTGTGGGTAGAATTCTACCTTGTTCAAAGGCCACACCTGAAATTCATTATAACATACCCTCATTATAATCATCACTTCAATGGAGAATTTATTAATGGATTAAGGATTAATTGTCTCACTAATGAAATTAGGCAAACATGATGTGTATAAAAAATGTCAAAAGTCATTTCTACAAAAGTTGAAGACTTTTTCAGTTTAAAACAATGGAATTACAAAATATTAAGGTTAAGAATGTTGTTGATAGGCCAATTTGGGATTTTTTTCTAAAACCTTATTCTCTCTCTATTGACTTCCTGTATTGTTATCTACCATTAACACTCTTTAAATAGGGAATTTTATTGAACTTATTGCCTTTAACCTTTATTAATTTACTTCTCTAGCTGAAAGTGAGGCCTGAAAAATCCACCTTTGATGAAAAGCACACTATTCGCTTCTATCCTACCTTAACACAACTGCCTCAAAAAGAGCAAATAATCTTGAAAGAAGAAAATAGATGTAAATGAGACATTTGATGCAGAAAATTATAAAATGTATTAAACAGAAAGGAAATTGAGATTAAAATGACAAAAATACATTTTAAAAATTGTTGCTAAAATATTGAAGCTATATGACACGGATTATTTTTTTAAATCTTAAAATTAATGCCAATCAATATCAGTTGTGGTGCTGCTGTTTTGATTGTTTAGAATCATGGTATTTATATTTATAGAATCATGGTATTTATATTTATAGAATCATGGTATTTATATTTATAGAATCATGGTATTTATATTTCAAAAACAAAAAGTTTGGTTCAAAAAAAAATAAAAAATAAAAAGAATTGTTCTTTGGCATCAGTTCTAAAGAAATGCTGTTTTGATCCCATTGAAATGACAAAATTACTTTCATTTTTCTACTTTTGGTCTTCATGGTATGAAAATATTTGCCAAGTATTGTTTAGGAATGATGATGTTTGAATAAAGTTGAACATGAAGCAGCCACATAGGTACCAAGAGACCAAACGTTTCTCCATTTATTTTTTTTATTTCATTATTTGGGGTTTCAACCAATTTATTCTCTATCCTTTCTCAGATTTCTGTGATTTTGTTTTTAGCATAATCCTTTATCTTGTCTCCATTTTTAAAATTTTTTTGCATTTATTCCAATGAGAAAAATCCACAATAAAAACAACAAAGATCAAAAGAGTGGGGAAAGGAATTGTGTCTTAGTTTAATGTGTCTCAGATGATTACTGGATACAATAGAAAGCCAAGGAAGGCCAAAGAATGTCCTGAATGAAGTAGTTATCAAAATAACAAAGATGAGGATAGTCTTTTGAATAATTAATGAAAGAATGATAGCAAACTTTGGAATTTCACACAATATTCTCTTTTATGTTCAGAATTGTATTCCCTTCTTTAAAGAAACAAATAAAACCAAATTGCCATCCTGGGTATGATGATAAACTACATTTGTGTGCTGGGTAAGATGATAAACTACATCCGACAGCAAGGCCTTGGATCAGGAGGTTTTAAGGAGCATGAAACCAAAATAAAAATTTAATTATATTGAAACCTATTGAAATAGCATTGTGTTTTTCTTCCCCAGAAATGGGCAAATAGTTAACCCCAAAAAGAAAGAGTAAAAAATAGATTTTAGTACCAACAATACATTTTGTAAAAAAAAAATTACCAGCAATACATTTAAAAAAAAAAAAAAAAAAAAAAAAATTACCAGCAATACATTTTTTAAAGGAAAAAAATATTACCAGCAATAAAAATTTTGTTGGCATTAAATAACCCATTGAGATTCATATGCAGTAAAACAAAACAAACCAAACCAAATTATTTGACAATGAATATTTCTTTGTTCTTTTCACAATGCAAAAAAATAAACATGAAATACAACAAAATGAAATAGCCACTTTCTTGGTGTTTACACAAAATTTAAACGCCTTGCTCTATTGTTTAAGAATAAATTTTAAAAAATTTTTTTAAATTTTAAATTTTATATTTCCCAAACTCTTATTGATAAAAACTGAAAAAAATCTGTTGACTATTCTAAAGTAATGAAGAAGAGATGTTCAAATCTAAGGTGATTTTTTTCAGTGCTATATTTTCATCTCTTTAAACATTATTTTTAGTGGATACTCATATTTGAGTAGATGTTCCATCTATTTTTTGTTTTTGAGGGTGCATCTTTTTCTTTAATAAGAATTTTCAAATATTCAGAATGGTAGATGAAAATAAATATACTGTTTTGAAAAAATTTTTTTTAAAAAAAAAACAATACAGAATTTAATCAAATATGGCTATCCACCAAAAATTAAGATATATATGACGTTAAAAAAAAATTCATTATTATTTTTAAAAATTTTTTTGTTTATGAAAGGATATAAAACTGATTTTTTTATGAATTTTCGAGAATCTGGGAATGATTTAATTTTAGAAGCATTTTTAAGAATCTTGCTTGATTGGTGATGTCCTTCATGGCTGAGTTGGTCTAAAGCATATCAGATATAATGATGGTTCTCGTATAAAAGGGACACAGGTTTGTAACCTGCTGGAGGGCACATCTCTTTTTTTAATAAGATTTTTTGAATATTTAAGCTGGTAGATGAAAATAAATATAGTTTAAAAAAATAAACAGAGCATCTACTCAAATATGGGTATCCACTAAAAATAATGTTTGAAGTAATAACAATCTATTAGATTAATAAAAAATTCATTACTTCTTTAAAAATTGCTACCATGCTATATACGATAATTCAATATTCAAAGTTTTGTCTTCAATTTCCTGCCAGAAGGATACAACTATCATACCTCGCTTAAGGGTGGCCTGGGACTGCAAATACTAAATGTTGGTTTCCTCACTTAAGGGTGGTTTGGGATTGTAAATACTACATGTTTAATTGCTTTATTGTTTCCTTGTTTAAAGGTGGTCTGGGACTGCAGATACTACATGTTTAATTGTTACATCACTTAAGGGTGGCATGGGATTGCAAATACTACATGTTTAATTGTTAACTAGCTTAGGGGTGGCCTGTACTGCAAATACTATATGTTTAATTGCTTTATTGTTACCCCTTAAAATATTGACCAGATAGAAAAATGTCTTTGGAGTACAAGACACTTTGATTTATCAGATTAAATGAGAAAACAATTAATCTCGTAACTCACAAAGAAGATAAATCACAATTATTATTGGTTACTGTAAATGTTCCTGAATCATTTGGCTTAATTTGTATAATTCCGGAAAGAAAGACAAGAAAAGGGAGGTATCGATATAATACTTACCAAGATCAATATGGACCAGCTGTGCCGTTTCACAGTTAATCAAGATATTCTGTACATGCCGATCTCCAAGACCGAGAATGTAGCCAACTGTATAAATAAATAAATAAATGAACAAAAATAAGTATTACTTTCAAATAACTTTACAAATACACAAACTTTAGGAATGTAGCAAAGACTCACCGATTGAGTTGGTAGCAACACTTTTTACATAGGCTGTACGACATTCATACCATTTGACAGGATCAAAGAATTTTTCAAAGAAGAAATGTCGTAAAACTGGATGGAAGTTTTGGCAAATCTCTTCATAAATCTGCTCTTTTCTTTTGGCTGGAGACTCCTGTAATGGCAACAAAATAGGTGAGGAATTTCATTTAGAACATCCATTGCAGAGTATATTTAAATTTTGGGACTTAACAGGAAATTAAGGACATACTATATTGATTAGGCATATGCTGAATATTTAGGGAAATATCTCTTCAAATCTTGACATTTGAAATTTTTACTTAGCTCTCTTTTTAAATCAGCATAACCAAGCAAAGAAGGTTTCAGAATGTGCATTGTGTTAACATGATACCAGGACGAAAAACAAGACCTGTCAAAGGGCGGATGGCCAACATGTGTGTGTGTGTGTGTGTGTGTGTGTGTATGGTGTTTCAGAAATACCTCCCACATATTTTGGTAAGACTTTTAATATATATATATATATATATATATATATATACAAAAATTTTCTAAAAATAAACCATAGCATAATGAAAAAGGCCCCAGACTTGATAAAAACAAAGCTTCATCACCAAAATGTTTGTTTTATTATTAAAAGGAAAGACCAAAGTATTTTTTGATTATTTTATTAAATTTTTTAATCCTTTCTAGTATGTTGAAATTTTGGCTAAAAATTTTGTTTTTCTTGTGTTAGTGGGTGGGACAAAGATTAGTATGGGAAATTTTGCATTTATTTTTTATAGTAAAAAACACATTTTTTGGGAAATTCTTGTAAAAATCAAATAATTGCCAGATTTTAATGAAATTTTCAGGACTAATTCAGAAATGAATTAAATTATTTTTGAAATATCTTTTTAAGAAATTCTTTTTTTTTTTATTTTCTATTTTTTAAATCTACTTATTTAATTTTATGACATTTCAAGAAATTAAAATTTCAAGATCTTCATATTTATATTAATTAAAAGCAGGAGAATTTAAATCATCAATTTGTTTTTGTCAAAAAAAAAAAAAACACCAGTTATTGAATATCAGCTCTGAATTGTAAAATAAAAAAATGCAATAAAACTATGACATTATTAGAAAAGCTTTTAATTGCTTTTATAAATAAGATATATTAAGGACACTATTGTCTTAAGAAAAAATTTTTTTCAATGAATAATGAATTTTTACAAGAATTGTTTTCATTTTTTTAAAATTTTAATTAGAAAAATTTATTAAGTTTTAAATCTTTAAAAATTCTGTATTAATTTTAGCAGTTTTGATAATATTGTTAAGTGAAAACTAAATTTACTAATCATTAATGGAAAAATTAATACAAATCATTAAAACACCAATATTTTTAAAAGAATTTTGAATTTTTTTTTTATGTGTATAAATGTGCCAATTTTTGTAAATATGGGTGACCATACATGACATTATCAGAAAATAATGATAACTATAGTAAATTTAAACCAAAATTTCTAAAAATTCAATAAAACATTAGATTATGGAGAATATTTTCCTATTTTTTTAAGATTACTGAGTACTTAAAAAATTATAAAAAAAGTGCTCTCATCATCATTTTTTTCAATTATGTTTTACAGATAAACCCTCCATAGAACAACATTAAATATGTTATCATCAAACTGTCAAACATCAACTAATCAGTTAAAAAAACTACTCAAAGGTTTAAAAAATGCATTTCCACAATATTTTAAACTTAAAGTCAATAACATTTGTTTCAAATCAAATTAATTATACTTTAAATCGGCTAATATTCCTCAACTAAATTTTCAGGAAAGTATATTTTATTTTGGAAGATTTTTTAATAATAGAATTACATTGTGATGAAAGATGACTAAAAAATGTTAGCGTTAATCAGCTATTTTAACAAAAAAAAAAAAAATCCTTTCAGTCAATTTAAATTAGTTTTTTAAAATACAGCAAAGTATTTTGCTTATTGGAAATATTAAAAATATTAAATTAAAAGTTTCAAGAAATATTTTTCATTTTTAAAATTCATTTAAACCTTAGATATCAAAGATCATGGACTACCATGAATGCTTGAATTGGTCATCAGGAAGAGTATTCAGGCCCTGTGAAATTTTGCTGCAAATCATTATGACAAATCTTCTGTGAGGCAAGAACCACCATTTTTTTGTGTGAAATTAATCTCAGTTCTGCCTCAACAAAATAAAAAACATGGCTATGTATGTATATATGAACAGAGTCTGCTATTTGCTTTCCTTGTTGGCTATTGAAAATTATATTGGTCATGCTCTTAGAAGAGATGTGATTTTGTTTTCTGTAACTATTACAAAATACAATAAATGAATATATCAATATATTATAAAATATATATATATATATATATATATATATATATATATATATTCTCAGACCAACCCACTTCCCAAAATGTCCTAATATCTGTGGGTATTTTTGAAATATTTTGGGTGAAAGGCTTTTTTATAAAATAGAAAATATTTCAGGAGCCCATTGCATCTAACACTTTTCACATGGTGCACTGATAATAGTTACTGATACTAAGCAGAAGTTCTGACATATGAATAATTTGGTCATTTTTGATAGGCACTATATGTTAGTCTAATCATATAAGATGCAAGGTAATATAAAAACAAGATAAAATCATGTAAGAGTTTATACAACTGAGCAAATTTTGGTTTGTTAATAGAATGTTGACTAGTATTTATTTTGAGACTGAAAACCTAAAAATGTCATAAATTTAAAAAATTCTTCTTCGGATTCTGTAAACTTGAAAATGGTTGTAAACTTTTCTTTTTTTTACCAAGAGTTTTCGGCGGCATTCCATGGCTGACCAGTCTTGTGGGTAATAACGTTGATGGGCACCTTTGTCTTTCCCCACTAGATATTCTCCAAGAGGCTGTGTTCCTTCACACCATTCTAATAAACCACTTCTTTGAGATAATGGAATCACCTTCAAATAGAAAGAGGATATTTTTTTTAGTCTTCAAAATGAATAATAAACCTACAAAATTATAAAGGAATTTTATTTACATGTATACTTATTGAAATATTCAGAAATAGTTCCTATTTCTTTACGTAATGATTTTAACCTTCTCAGCACCAAATGATGTTGACATTTTTTCTACCTGTTAAATGTATTTCCCCTTTTGAAATTCATACCATGTCTTCATTTTGTCCTCCACACGGTGTTCTTGTAATGCTAATTACTCTCTAGGGAATTCCCATTGTTTTTATTTTTGACTTACACACGTCAGTGAAAAAAAATAGAAAGCTTTGATGTTGAAGTTTTTAATGTTGTGCAATCCAAACTGATGGATGAACAAACAGACTAAAAGTTCATTTTTTTTTTTATGACACTACAAATGCCCAAGGGACCACTTAAGACAAGAAGGGATTTACTTGAAAAGAGAGTGATGAAAATGTATTGTATAAACAAGATTTAATGATGGTTGTAAAGAAGAAAGCTAAGAGATTTTATGACAAGGTAAGTCCTTTTCAGTTTTTTTATAATCTCTGAAGAATCATTAACAAAACTTTTCCATTTTATCATTTTCTTGAACCTCTTGGATAAGTAGTTACTGATATATACTTTCAAAGCAAAAACTGCATCAGAATAAGTAACCTGTAGTTTGGAAAACAAAATCTAAGTGACAGGATGGTAGCCTGTATTATGACATGTAACAAGCAAAGCAAAATGATTAGGAAAATGTAAATGATTTAGAGAAGCAAGAAAAACATACACAAGTTAGAACATAATGTGGTCTGGCCATATCTGCCAATAGTTAAGCAGTCATTGCAATATTCCACACCCTTATTTATAGACAATTACTTTAAATAGCTCAGACTTGTCCAGTTATAAATTTTTTTCTGTGAAAAACTTTATTTCCCTTGACAAACTACATTGTCTGGTTACAAAACTACAATAATTGAGAACTTCAAATTATACATAATGAGAAAATCCTGCTAGTGGGTGTGACTGCAGGTAAAAATGGTAGATTTTTCCCCTTTTATATTTATTCAGTTTCCTTGACTTTTAACTTTTTATTTACTACTAGCGGACTTTAAGCTAACTCTTGTGGAGGGCCTTTTAGGTTTCAGTGTCCTATGTACATAAAAGTTATAAGAATTTAGAAATAATAATCTTTATTTGACACCTTATTTTGGCATAATCTTTCCTCATTTACGCAACCGATCTCCGTAGTTTGTTTACATTTATTTTGTGTGCAATTTTTATTTTCTTTTAAAATCAACATTCTTTATGATCTCTTCATATAAAGTCACGCTTAAAAGACATTAGGGAACCCGAACTATGTAATATTTTGAATATATCACAGCATGCATGCTAGAAAAAGAAAAAAAACATACTGTGCCTCGCTTAAGTTTTAATTAGCAATTTTAATTGCAATGAAAAGTGAAATTAAAGTTAAACCTTTAATAAAGAATAGTTTTTTAAACCTTTCATTCTGATACTTAAATTTAACTTTAAATGAGTTATTTATTTAATTTTTAATTGTGTGTAACTACAGTAGTTACTACCTGTTACTTCAGGTTGATTATGATTCGCTGAGATCAAAAAATGGACGGACAGACAGGCACACATACACTGTGCTTTATTTATATAGAATTTAAAAGTGTTTGACAAACTTATTCAGAAGATGAGTGATGAGTATTCTGTTATAGGAACATTAGACATGGTAGTGGCTGACTATTATGGAAAGCTCTCAATAACAAGTCACACTTTGTTGCTCTTTTACTGTTAATTCCTTCTCCTGTAGAGAAAGAATCTTTATGAGATTTTGAGGAATTTGAAAGTAACTCATCAAAATCATTTTTTTCAATCTATTATATTCTCTAACATTTAAAACCTACAAATATTAACAAATCTTGTACCTTTCCAAAGGCACACCTTTTATTGGTTATCTTTTCTTTCTTTATCTTTGTTTATTGGCTGGTTTAGTTTTGGGGATTTCATTTTTTTTTTTTAACCTTTCTCTTAATACACTTGTTTGCTACAAGCTTCATAATCAATAAGTGAGTGTGCATGTGTGTATAGCGTAGGGGTATTATTCTGACTGCTAAGGTCTCTAATAACAGTACAATACTATGGAGTAAGGGGGCTAAGTACAAATACTGGTAATCTGGGTAAGCATTAACCTATATAATTTTTTCAAATGATTCTTTTTGAGGGGAAAAAAAGGGTAGGTTCTTATATACCATCAAATACCATAACTAAAAAGTATTTTTCATGAAGTTTTTATATGTATTTTATATATATCAGTTAACATGAACTTGTTTTCTTCTTTTTTCATTGATTCATTCAACAATTACAATCTGGGTAATACTAAGTTATCTTGCTAGTTAATCACAAAAAATTTCAAAAATTCGAAATTTACTTTGTATGTACAAATATTCAATTGTCTTTTGTGAGCATCTGCATCATTGTCCAACAATTTGTTGACTAGTCCAAACACTTGCTGCATGATTGCATCCTGTCGGAGGTCATCACGACCCTAAGAAAAGAAAAACAAAAGTTAATAAAATTAAAAATTCAAAACTTATTAATAAAACATTTTTTCATTTTGTTTCAATCTGATGTTGTTGCTTGCATTTCATCTTATGTAATGAACTATTTGGAAAATGAAAATTTGCAAGAAGAAACTTGGACTCTAAATCATTCAAAATTGAATCATTTAGGCATTGAATTAGAAGAAAATTTCAAAATCTTTTTGTTTGCTTGCAGCATATTTATTACTTCATCTAAAAAATGTTCTTTGTGCTACTGGGTCTAGATTTCTTGCAAAATTTTATTTTCACAAATGAAAACTTTGAGGAAAAGAATATTTCAGAATGTCTATAGCAAAATGCATATGAAATGATACATCAATAAGTAGTATTAGAAGTTGTGTTAATGCACTTGATTTGTAAAATGAATGTTCATAAAAGAATAGAATGTTCACTGGTGTCATATGATGACCAGGATGTTCAAAAGATTTTTAAAATAGTAATCCTTGTTATTTGTTAATGTGAGCCAAATATTTTCTTTTATAAATGGAAGAATTGTATCAGATTGCATTTCAATAAGACATTCACTTTAAAATGCCTCAAGATGAAATAATCTCCACGTAAGACTTTGATTAAACCAAAAAGAGATTTCTGAATTTCTGAGATGAGGTAATATTATTACTATAGAATGATTCTTTTGGACTAATTTAAAGGAAACATAAAAATTTGAGTTTACTGTGTGTTTCAATTAAGACGTTGAAAATTCCCTTTGTTTTTGAAATTAGATTTTGATTGATTCAGTTTGTGAAGAATCAGAAAGAATGGGAAAACTTTTCTTCATTCTCTGAAATAGAGAGTTTCCATTAACTAAAAGAGAAATAACTACAACATTTGACACACACACAAAAATAATCCTAACATCACTAATAGTGGCATTCCAATTTGCATATAAATTAATCATGTCAAACTTAGCATAAAAATAATGAAAAATGAGACAAATCCGCAGTCAATCGGCAAAATCTCCTTACAAGTTGACTGAACAATTACAAAAAAGTCTGACTAAAAATCTCCAGGTGAGGTACTGAATATAACATCTATCAACACAGTGACAATTTTTATTTATATTGATCCTATATATATATATATATATATATATATATATATATATATACACACACACACACAGAGGTTTCATTAAAGATGACTGTCCATTTTTTTGTGTTTGTACAATTTTTTTTTCTTTTCTGGTCATAAAATATGTAAAAATCGTCAGAATGTTCTGCATATTGAAGCACTTTCAGCCATTCTTTTAGTCATTATCAAGGATGATTTTTTTTTTTTAACCTGAATGTATAGATTTAGTTTTAATTCAGTTAAAAATAAAAAATCATTCTTGATAATGGCTAAAAGAAAGTGCTCGGATATACAGAACATTCAGACAATTTCTACATAAATTATGTCCAGAAAAGAAAAAAAATTATAAGAACATAAAAAAAATTGCATGAAAAACTTAATCCAGTACCTTGTCAGTCGTCTTTAATGAAATTTGTATAAAAAAGGGATTTTTACCCCTATACATAATTATATATATATATATATATATATATCAGGTTAAATGGGTGAGGTGGGACTAGGAAGAATGTTTTATCAACCTTACAAGTGAGAACAAGAGTTAGACACTGCCTACTGGTGTGGGTGGGGTAAATTTAAAACTGTTTCAACCACCAAACACCCTACCCTACCATTATAGGTATGATAAAGGGTGAACATAACTGATATAAATTTGGAACAATTTGAGTAATTTCTGTCTGGATTTCTGGGACAAGGAGTTATTTACAGTTAGACTAATGTCCTCATTTTGTTGTTGCTATCATGTTTCAGCTGTTTTTCATTCTAGCCTTCTTCAGGTGTCTGTCAATACAGATCACGAAAACATATTGGATTGAGAATATGTTGGCATAGTAGTTGGACTTTGGGGAAACAGAATAAGCGATAACTGAATATTACTAAAAAGAGAACAAGACAAGATATCTCTTGACATGGACACTGAAATGAGAACAATCTAGTTCCATACATTAAATAAAGGGTTCAGTGTGAAAGCTTCTGAAGATTGAGAGACATCTGAAGAAGGCTGAAAAGCACAATGGCTGAAATGTGATAATCAAAATGAAGATGAGGACATTAGTCTGACTGTAAACAATATAAATAACTTGAGAACTATTGTGTGCATTTCTTACCTTGACCAATTGTCTGTATTTTAGACCATTAGAACCATTACAAAGAATGATTTTTGGCAGGTTGATTCCTCCTGCAAGTTTAAAGTTTGAATCAAATCCTGTCACATAAGGAATCTCGGCATAAACTCCACTTGGGTCAATCTGTCAATATTTTAATAAAAGGAAAATTAAAATATTTGGAAAACAGTAACAAAAAAAGCATAGCAGTAATTTTGTTTGGTGGGAATATGGAAAGAGAGAGAAGCAAGTGGTATAATTTACAGGGATGTTGGATGTAGCCACAGCAACATGACGCAGGTTCTTCAGTTTGGTAAGGCGGAGAGAAGATGGCAGTTGAATGGGTTCTAAAAAACAAATTGAAAAGCATTAGTCAAGTAATGGAGACAATGAGAAGTGAAATAAAGAGATGAGACAGGACACATGGGAAAATTATATGAAATGAAAATAGTGCAAGAGAGAAAAAATAAACTATATATTTAAAAATGCTACTGATAAAATATGTCTGTGTTATATTTTTTAATTTTCAAATAAGTTGTTGCACAACAGGTTAAAAAATGGGATAAACTGTCCAAAGTGTTTGAGTACTTTTGAGTGTCTCATTATCAATAATTGATTGCTGTCAGTATTATAGATAAGTTTTGTTTGCTACTTACTGGCATTTTTGATAACATAACTGGATTTCAAATTCAAATATGCCAGGTATTGTATAGATGACATCAAGTGTAGAACAGTTTCATAGAACATGAAAGTACCAGTATTGTAATTAATTTATACACATCATAAATATTTCATTCAAATTTTAAAATACCATCTCCTGTGGTGAAAGATATTTTATTTAAAGGTGATTGTATCTTTTGTATTATAACAGTTTCAAATATTTTTAGTTTTTCTTTACTGCTAATAGTTGTTGTTTGTGATTATATGATTGGTATGTGAACAAGTGACAAGTTAACCTATGAGTGAGTGTATTGCATATGTGACCAATGTGAGAAGTTAATGTTTTCAATTATTGGTATTGGAGATATAATCTCACAAAGTATTTATTGCAATCATTAAGTGATATCTACTGGCAAATTAGATTTTTAATGGCTTTTTCATCTTGCTGATAGTTAGAATAAGTTAATGTTTTTATTTTTATTTATATCAGGGTCATTGTTTGTGTCAGTTTTTTAAGTTTAATTTTATTTGTTTCTTGATAGGAAATTATTGTTGATAAATATTTGTTTTATGTTGCTCAATTATTTATAAATTATTTCTCCTTGGTTAATCAGATTTTTTTTAGAAGAGTTACTTTATATCTGGGTGGCCATTCACTTTTGTAATTAAGAGTTTTTGCATGTATGTTCTTTATGCAGTGAAGTAGTAACATTGTGACTATTAGTATCTAACTAAAACCTCAAAGAAAAAGATTCTATTATTAATGTTAAAAAGTTAGTTGAGTTTCTAATAACCATAAGAAACAGAGATGATGGACTTATGGTTATTAGAAACTCAACTAACTTTAAATTAGATAGAATTAGAAAGGTTTTATATAAAGAATTTAAAAGCATGGGCTTAAAAATTACAGTTAGCACTAAACTTAAAAAAAAAAGTGAACTTCCTAGATATAACATTAGATCTAAATAAAAATACATACACACCTTCTAAAAAACCCAACACCAATCCTTTATATATACACCCTAAATCGAATCACCCCCCCCCATCTATAATTAAACATATACGGTTATCCATCAGTAAACGAATTAGTACAAATTCAGCAAATGACAAGATTTTCGATGAGCATATCAATTCCAATAATAAGGCTCTAAAAGAGAGTGGCTACAAAAACCCAAAACTAACTTATATAAAAAATGAAAAAGCAAAGCATAGAAAAAACAGATGTAGAAAAATAATTTGGTATACGCCCCCATACAACCAAATGGTAAAGAACAAATTAGGACAAAAATTCCTCGCATTAATAGTCAAGCATTTTCCTAGTGAAAGTAAACTAAGTACTATTTTCAATAAAAACACACTAAAATTGAGTTACAGCTGTACGGAAAACTTAGAAAAAATTATTAAGAACCATAATGCTAATATCTTAAACAAACACTTATAACAAAATCAAAAAAAATTAGACAATGGAAGAATAAAAATAAAAACTGATGAAAATAAACAAAAATTATGTAACTGTAGAAACCCTCATAATTGCCCTCTACAAAATAAATGTAGCACTGAATCAATAGTATACCAATGCAATATCTCTTCGATTGAGAGTCTGGAAAACATAAAAACATATATAGGTTGCACTAGCCATGAGTTCAAAAAAAGATTCAACCAACATCAAACCTCATTTAGTATAAATAAATATAAAAATCAAACATCTCTATCAAAATACTTCTGGCACCTAAAAGAATCAAATAAAACACCTACAGTAAAATAGAAGTTAATAAGAAAAGCTAGAATATGTAGGTCATTAAGTGACCCATGTCCTTTGTGCATACATGAGAAACTATATATTACTAAGTTTATAAAAAATAAAAATTTACTGAACTAGAGAAATGAAATAGTTATTTTATGCCGTCATTGTCAAAAATTTTCCTTAAATAATATTTAAAATAAAAATAATTTTATAAAAAATGCGATCAGGTAATATACATACTTATATTTAACATGAAAAAATTAATTTTATATACTGTAAGTAATTCTATTATATTTACTTGTTTTTAAATAAAAAAAAAAAGTCTAGTCTATTAAAATAACAGTGAAAATATTTTAAAGTTGTATTTAAAATTGTAGTTAAAAAATTCTAACCTAAACATCTTTTAAAATTGTAGTTAAATAAAACGTATTCTAACCTAAAACACCTCTCAAAAAGTAATACCGACACTTAAATGAATCCAATAAAACACCTACAGAAAAAATGAAATTATGACAAAAAGCTAGAGGATGTAGGCCATTGAATGACCCATGTCCTTTGTACATACATGTGAAACTATATATTACTAAGTTTATATATATATAAAAAAATAAATAAATAAATAAAGTTTACTAAATCAGAGAAATGAATTAGCTATTTTTGCCTGTAAATTGCCAAAAATTTTACTTAAATGATATTTAAATATAAAATTTTTAAAAAAATCGTAATATACATATACTTGATATGGAAAAATAATTTTACTTACAGTAAGTAATTCTAATACATTTACTTCTATTAAATGAAATATAGTCTATAAAATTAACAATGAAAATATTTTAAAGTTGTAATTAAAATTGTAGTTAATTAAAATGAATTCTAACCTAAACTTTTTTAAATTGTAATTAAATAAAATAAAAAAAAAAAAAATTTTTTTTTTGTTAAAAAAAAAAAAAAAAAAAAAAATTATATTTAAATATAAAATTTTTAAAAATTTTTAAAAAATACTTGAATAAAAAATAAAAAAAAAAAAAATTTTACATTAATTAAAATGAAACATAATATATTTAAATATAAAAATTTTTTTAAAATCAGTGAAATTATTAAAATATTTTTTTAAATCATAAATTGTAATAAATTTTACTTTACTAATAAACTGTAAGAGGATTCTCATTACATTTAAATTAAATATTCTTAAAAGAAATATAAAATAATTACAAAATTAAAAGTAAAATTTAATTTTCTTAAAAAGAAAATAGTATATTAAAAAAAAAAAAAAAATATTTCAAATAAGTTAAACCCCCGTAAAATCTAAAAAATTTTAAATATAAAAAAAAAATGCCGTAAGAATTTTTGCTGTTAACAATAAAATTTTAAAAAATCCAGACGACATGTTTTTTAACGGATGTTAGATTTCATTGAAAAATACATCCCTACCCACTACCAAAAACGTAATAATAATTGATACATTAAAATATAGATATAATGAACACCCAGACACCCCTTGTCTAGTAAACTGGATTCATCTGTAACCTTGGAAACATGAATTATGATTTTAGCTGTGTCTTTAAAACCCAGTAATTTTAAAAGTTACTCCAAAAATTCGCTTGAGGATGAAATGGAACTAATGTCTTTAATTTAATTACAAAAATTAAATTCATGGGGTTTTAAGCTTCCATTTTTTGAAACATGGTTAGAACTGTGTTTAAAAAAAACCATATTTTAAATAAATTAATTTATAATTTATATATATATATATATATATATATATATATATATATATATATATATATATAATATTATTATATGCAATATAAATTTATATTAATATTTATATTAAATATGAAAATAATAAGATTTAATATATTCAGTTGCATGGATATGATGGAAATTTATTTCAAATATGGAATGAATTTCATTTTTTTATGATTCATTTACAAACTAGTTTATTATTAAAAAAAAATCTATTTCTTCTTTTTAAATTTTCTCATCCCAAAATATCTTGAATAATTATAGATCTGTATCTTATGGGGAAAATCTTTTTTTTACACAGACATATAGCAACAATTACCTTCATCATCACTCAAAAATGTTTTGAATTAGTATCTGCATAAACAAAAAATTTTTAAAATTAAAAAAAATGACCAAATGTTAAAAGTCTGAGAATATAAAAAACAAATTATCATTTTAGCATTTACATTATATATATATATATATATTTTATATATATATATTTTTTAGAGAAAAATGTTTTTTTGTTTTTTATAAACATCAATATAAAAATAAATTTTTTTAAAATAATAAAAAATGTTTTATATAGGTGTTTTTAGGATGAAAAAAATGATGCAAAAGGGAAATAGAAAATGAATATATATATATAAGCATTTTATATATATAAATTATTGATAATTCTTTTTCTTAAATGAAAAATTTACATGTTAAGAAGATTCATTAATTGAATTCCTTAAAATCGTTTTTATTTAAAAAATTTCAAAAAAAAAATATGAACAACAAAAATCATAATTTAATCTCAATTTATTTAAAATGCTTAGTTTAGCATTAAATAGCATAACGGTTTATTAAATAATTATTTAAATATATATATTTAAAATAAAATTATTAAAGAAAAATAGCTTTTGAAAAATTTTTTTATAAAAAAAAAAATGTTTTGAAGATTTATCAATGTGTGTGTGAATAAAATTTAAAATTTTCCATTGTATCAAATGGTGATAATTTGATTTCTGTTATTATTTTTAAATATAAATTTGTATTTTGCAATTGTTTTTGTAAGTGTATGAATATATAACACAGAAAAAAAAAATGAGAAAATTCATTAAAACAATTTCAAAAAAAAAAATCAAAAATAAAAAAAAAAAAAAATAAAAAAGTTTGTCAAAATTATCAAATTGACGTGAAAAAATAGGGTCACATTTTTTCCTTATTCAAATTTATATGATATATATATATTGATTGTTGTGTATATTGTGAATGTATGATTTTTTTTTTTTTTTTTTTTATTTATTTTTCATATTTTATTTTTGATTACAAATTTGATAAGGAACTTGAATTGTTGACAAATATTTTTTCAAAAAAAAGAAAAAAAATTGAAAACATTCAATAGGTAACACCTTTTAAAATGAAATAAAAAAAAAAAAATTGAACAAATAATATATATTTTTATATATAATTTGTTTTGTCTGTGTTAATGTAATTGTAATTTTAAAAGTAGAAGAATTTTTTAGCTGAATTTTTAACAAAATGTCCCTCTATACAAACAAAAAGAAAAGATTTACAAAGAATATTTCATCAAAAATATAAAATGCTCTGAGAGCTTGATCTTACTTGTTTCTCGTTTATATTTATCCACATCAAAATTTGCCAGTTCAATGTACCTTCAAATAACAAATGCCTTAAAAATTTTTTATTAAAAATTTTTGTGGTGCACAGAGTTTGGATTATCTTTTTTGCAGCTTTTGCACGGTCCTTAATAAGAAGAGAAAAAAATTTAATGAAGGACTGATGCTTATTTTATATTAAATTTACAATCACATTTAATAATATGAAATGGATATTATTATCTAAATTAGTCAATTCCAAACATTTTACATAAAGTAATTAAAAAAAATAATTTCAATAAATTTGGTATTAAATTTTTATAATGGAAAATTTATAATTTATATTTAAATTCTTTCACTCTATATCTTTTGTTTCATGTTATCAGCCATTATTATTATTATTATTATTTAAAAACCAGGCATGATGTGAATATAAAAAAGGCTTCTCTGTAAATTTTTTCATGAAAAGGATTGTCAAAAAATTTTCAAAGGGATTTTATCATTTATGGATGCAAAAATGGTAGATTTTTTAATTTTGAAATAAAATTAACAAATTTAATTTTTCTTCATAACTTTTGGGTTGACAAAAAAAAAAAAAAATAATTAAATGACCCTATATCATAATTTTAATAATTCTTGTATTCATTTAAAAGAAATAATAACATTTTTTAGAGTTTGTCAAAATTATTTCCATCTTTTGTTTCTTCTTTATAATCTGACAATTATAAAAGAGAATCACCTTTTATTCTATTTACAATTGAATTTTACATTTAACCAATTTTCTTTTAAGGAATCTAATTTTACTTAAGTTGAATACAAACAGATTATGATGGCGGTAATTTTGAGTAAACGTTATTTTAAATTTTAAAATGAATTAGAAAATATTTTATTTTAAACAAAATAATATATTTAATTTAAAAAATTCACAAAAATAAAAGCAAATTGAAAAAAGTTTTAATTAAAGTCAATATTTTTGTTTAATTTGAACTGAATGGGAAGGGAATGATGCATGATTAGAAAAAACAAAATAACAAAAGGTTTCCTGCAATTTTAAAATATCTAAATTATACTTCAATAATTATCATTAATATTTTTTGCAAATTGTTTAATAAGTTAGGAGGTGTATAGCAGAGTGAGATGTTTCATTGACCACAGAAACAGCTGATTGTCCAGAAAGTTCCTTTGCTAACTGCTTTGAGATATTTTGCTGTTAGCAAAGAGACACTGATTGATAGACTTGCACTTCAGAACAAGGTTTTCTCTATGGAAAGATCAATTATGTTCATGTAAAAACAAAGTCTTTAAAACTGGCTTTAGCTTTTCAAGAGCTGAGTCTACATTTAATTGAGGAAGGCTAACATCCAGAATAAGTCCATTTGTCTTTTATTGAATAAATAAACTTTGTGAAATTCTTCCTGTTTTTTATTACCTAATTGCAGGCCATAGATTCAATACAATATAAACTTTTGAAGATGATGGAATATTCCAAGAAATGAAAGCTCAAGGATATTTATGATAGGTTGTTTGGTTTGGTTTACGGCACATCAACCACAATAGGTAATTTAATGCCAATAATTTTTTTTTTTTTTTTTTTTTTTTTTTTCCAAAATGTATTGAAAAAAATATTTTTACAAAATATCTCAGGATTTCTTGGGAGTTATTAAAACCTATTTTTTACACTTTCATAGTATTTAAAATAAATTTTTTTTTCCTTCTCACTCCAAAAGATAGGTGCAGTTGGTGTATTCTGAAAAAATTTAAAGGAAATTATATAATAAAATCTTTGTATTGGTGATGTCATGACGGAAAGGGACACACAATTTATATTTAAACATTCCTCCTTGGCTCTATATTTGTTTTCCTTACTTTTCAATGTCCCTCAATATTCAAAATGTTCAATATAGCATCAGACACACATGAAAAATGCCATGCATGTTTATACACCAATATTAAGTAGATTCTTACTGAGGTTTACCAATTGCCAATGGTAATAATAATTATATACATATTTGAAGTCAATACTTTCAAAGTATCTTCTTTTATGTGTCATATTCACTCAGGATAATCATTGCTCTCCACAATTTCCTGTTCTTTGTAGCTCTTAATAAATTTTGTCTTTGTTATTTCTCCTAAACTTTCTTCTGTCATCCAATTACATAAACCCACCAAGTAGGTTATGCATGGTTTTCCTCTGTCCCTCTTGCCTTCAATCTGTTGTGAGTATCAGATTTGCCAAGCCCTCTTTGCTCATTATGTGCCCTAGAAATTTTCCACTGTCTCTTTCTAATGTTAAGTTTCTTTTTGTTTCCATTTTCTCTAAAACTTCATCGTTGCTCACATGTTCAGTCCAAGGTATCCTCCTGTAGAACCACATATATGCTACCTCAAGTTTCCTCTTCATCTGTGAGGAGATTGTCCAGCATTCACTGCCATAGGAGGACTGATATTATGTAACAGCTCAGAATTTTTTTCTTTGTTACTAACAAAATTTTTTATGTTTTTTTTCTGTTTCTTTTTGGAAGGCATGCCTTTAGATTTTAGTGTCATCATTTTCATCCTTTGTTTAAAACACTTCCCAGATATTTTTTTTGTTTGTTTGATTTTGGTTCAATTTATAATTTGAGCTGTTCCTTTTACTAACAATGATGCATTTCATCTTCTTACAATTAATTTGATTTTAGGAGTTCTTTAGTTCTTTTCTTTCCTATATCAACAACACTGTGTCATCTGCATATCTTAAGATTGTGGCCACTAATAATGAATCCTGGTAGAACTTCTAATTCTCTCAGAAATGCCTCACTGTATAGGTTGGGTAAGTCTGGTGAGAAGACACATCCTTGTCTTACACCCCTTTCTATTTTTGTATATATACTGAATTCATTTTCTATCTGTTTGTAGGTGGTTTGCTACCAGTATAGGTTCTGGATTATTTTAATATCCTTCTCATATATTTTTTCAACATATCTAATCTCATTGGAAGTTATGTGAGGTTGTATAACAATTACAAGCACAGAAAACAGATAAATTGAATTTGAATCCTGTTGTGGAGTAGCTGAACACCCCTATAAGATAGACTGGTCTAAGACTATTTAAACAGCACTCTTACTGAGTGAGAGGAGTTAACATTTACTGTTTAGTGCATTAGTCTGTGTTCTCAACCATGTACCATATTATTCTCTGGAATAAGCTACTATTTATTTTCTATGTGTGTGTCAACCTTTCCTATTTACAACACAACAATCCTGAGAAACATTTGTTCCTAGCATTAACTCTACTTAACTGTGTGTGGGTGGAGATATCACAAGCTTTTCTTCCCTCCTCAACCTTCCTCTTTTCATAGATGAACTCTATCAACTGAGTGTCCTACTGAAAAGACATGACCATTATATATCTTAATGATTATTGTGACAAATGCAAGCCCACACATATACGTTATTCCCCACTCCCACAACAGAACCCAAAGCAGACACACATAGAAATACGGTAAGATAGCACATAAAAGAAACAACGTGATTGGTCAAAAGCAGCCAATCAGCAGTCGAGAAAATTAGGCGCCAAAAAGGAGATGCGCACGTGAAGAGAAGAGAAGAAGCAGCTTTATCAGAGAGACCAGCTGACAGAAGGTCACGCCAACGTCCATGTTCCAGGCAGCATGCTGAGACGACACATTCCCAGAGGCAGAGAAGAAGACCAACCACTCAAATGCCAAGAATGTGAAGATAGTCCAGACACAATTGGCCTGAACCCCTCAGAGATCATCGCCTTAAGAAGAAATCCTGAATATAAATATAAGGCAGAGAATGTGATCTCAGTTGAAAACCTAAAGCTCCAGTTGCTGAACCAAGAATACAAGAAAAGAGACTATTATCGTCTTTGGTCGATAAATGCATATCTCAGATAAGTTTATACCTCCAAACCCCTAGTGTTACTATGATTTCCAAACACCCAATAATATTATGTTCTTGCACACACCTTTCCATAATCATAAAACCAGACACTTGAGACTATACCCCTGTATATGTGTGAAACATTGCATTTGTTAATATCTGTCATATTCCAACTAAATATATGTTATAGCTTACATGATATAATATCTTTATTGTCGTTGCTATATACATGTTCTTGTTAATTAAATATTATATTGTTCACAATGTCGTTTCGTTCATTTATGGTCGGCCAAATATGTTATTCCAAGAGCCCAGGGAAGCTTAATTCAATTAGATCATAATTGAGTTGGACTTCGCTTATTTTCTTTTCTTTTTATATTATCTGCTGATGATTTAATGATGTAAGGGAAATCACCCTAAAATTTATTCAGTAATCCCATAATGGAAGGTTATTTGGGGAATAGAAGATATAAAACGAATCATCGTGCAGAATACATGGCTCTTAGCCTGGTGTTGATTGTGTTCCCCATCACAATATTAATACCAGGTGAGAACCTATAACATTATTTTGCAGTGAATTGCATTTCTTCACTGCAACAATTCAAAACTCTCATTGTATTGTATTCTCTGCTGTATTGTACTCCAGGCAGGTTGCTAACAATTGCCAATCCCTTTGGATTATCCTTCTCCTGTTGACCCAATCCCACCCCTTTAAATATGTAATACCCAGGTTTAGTAGTGATCCATCACAAAGTGAAAAACAAGTAGTATAAATTCTCAATTCAGATGCAACATTAGACACAGCTATTACATATCAATGGCAGCTGAAGGTGCATCTGGATAACCTTTACTTACCTGACTGTTGGTAATGTTCTCATTAGCATTTTCTTTCTTTTCATGTCTTCCTGATGTCTGTAGATAATCATCATCTTTGTTTGCATTGGCAAGTGCCATCACAATATGGAGGGAATGATGAGGATGGTCTTGGGTTACTTGCTCAATAATCTATTATGTACATAAAAGTAAATAAAACATTTTACCAATGTGTGTTTTAATTAATCAGCTTTTGAATGAGAAAAAATATCATATCATAAAATATACACTACAAAAAAGTGTAAAAGAGAGATTTTACAGCTGTATTTTTTAAAGACTACTTTTATTTCATCAACCTTCCAATAGCCAACAGCAAGTGACAATCTACGATTGAGTTTTCAATAAATTTTAGGAACAGTATTTTTATATATATATATATATATATATATATATATATATATTGACATGGCTACACAGGTGCACAAAGAAAAGTAGATACTGAGAATTTTAAATTTAAATTTAATTAAAAAAAATAGGTCTATAGTCTAGCGAATTTCATTTAGTTTCTTTATCTTTGTTGATGTTTCTTTCACTTTTGTTATTAAATATCCCACATTGTGATAAATATGCCAAGAAAAGTGAAATGTCCTAAGAACCAGGATGTAAATTTACTGTGGATGATTTAGCAATTAAAGCATTTTCTAAACGTTTTTGCCTTAGTAAATTGTTGGTTTAAAGCATATAGGAGCTAATGATGATTTCTCCTGCAAATTAATGGTTAATAAATATATGAAGTGTCAACACAAATATGGGTATCCACTAAAAATAACATTTAAAGTGATAATTATATATATATATATATATATATATATATATATATAAGTTTTAAGGTGTGCTATATTTATGGGATAAAGTGCTCAATATTAGAGATAGAGAGTATGTAAATATAAAAGTGAACATTGAAGTCAACAATCAGAGGCGACAGGCTGGCTGTTTCATGCTAGACACAATTGTCAGGCCTGATGATTGCATCTAGCATGAAACAGCCTGTTGCCTCTGAGTGTTGACTTCAATGTTCACTATATATATATTATATATATATATATACACACACACACACACACGGTAGAATCCCTCATATCTGGACATGATTTTGATGTGTATATTTGAACTATTTTGGTGATATGTAACTGATTTGAAATTTCTGTTTTTCAGGAAATTTACTTTGGATAATTGATTATGCTTATTTCACCCTAATGGCTTGTATTGGTGCAAAAGATGATGGGAATAAGAGGAAAGGATGACGAGACACATCTGCAATGAGATAACAACAAGATGTGTGATTGTGATGAAACCTGGACTGAAATTGAAAAAGTTATTGAAAAGGTTGTCAGTTTTATGGGAAGAAAGCCATCATTCAGCTATGACGATTGCAATAACACACACAGAGTTAAAAAGTGTCTTTTGTTTAAAAAATTTCAATAACAAAAGCAAAATGAAATGTGGAAAAAGTTGAGAATGACGAACGTATTACTAATTCTAATTTTTACATGCCCATCTTTTCAATATATTAATTTTATCTTATAAGTTGTCCCTTGTTCTAAGAACTCTTTCCTTTTATCACTTGCATCACTTTATCTATATATTTTAAGGTTGTTTTTGAATATAACTTTGTATTTTTACAACTTTTTGTATTTTTTACTTTTAAGCATGATTTTGTATTTTTATAATAACTTTATATATTTTAAAGGTTTTTTTAAACACCTTTTTATTCTTCTCTTCATTTTAAATTAAGGTTAATATCCAGGTTTAAGTTTATAAAACCTCTTCCCTTTAAGACAAATACCTTCTATCCTCCTGTGACTACTGTTTCGTGCCTTTCGTCTGACTGAAACATTGAAGTGGATAAATTCTGTTTTTCAATGTTTTTTTTTTTTAGCTTTCACCATTAAATTTCTATTTCTGACACAAACTCAGTCTATACCGGAGCTGAATAAGACTGACGAATTATATTTTCATCAGTCGAAATAAGCTTATTCCCCATATGAGGTGATTTGGGATTTTATTGTGTGTGTATGTGTGTATAAGTTTTTAATTTTTATTTATTTTTATATTTATTTGCTTTAAGCCTTTTGTATCCCACCTCCGTTTTAGTATAGGTTTGGTAGGAACAGGTGATAAACTAAAATAGCACAATTGCATATTAACTGCATGGTTTTCATACATAGCCCTTTCATTGCCACTTTGTCTGAATAGATTATATTGATTTTTGTAATAAAAAATGCATTTTCCAGCTCAAAACTGTGATCATAAAGCTTCCAAGTGCATTGAGTGTGTTCATTAATTTTAAGTCCATTTTATGTTCATATATTCTTTCTTTTTGTTTACATTCTATTTAGTAGACTCCTGCTTCTGATATAAAATTAACTCTCTCTTTTACATTCATTAAATACAGATTTGGTTTATTTTCTTTTATGCCATATCAATCTCAATGGATTATTTAATGTTGACAAGCTTATTAAGATAGAATATGTAAGAAATCAGTTTGTGATTAGGCTTCATTGACGTATTTTTATAAAGAGGGCTTTTGTCCCAAGTCAAATGTAATAATTTTTTTTTTTTTTTAAATATATTGCTGGTAATAATTTTTTGTTTTTTTTTTAAATATATTGCTGGTAATAATTTTTTTTTTCTTTTTTAAATATATTGCTGGTAATAATTTTTTTTTTTTTTAAAAATGTTTTGCTGGTAATAATTTTTTGAAAAAATGTATTGCTGATATTTTTACTATAAAAACCTATTTTTAAAGTTTCATAGTGTTTTGACCAAAATTTGTTGTTATTTGATTGATTTTTAGTATGTTCTCTGTATCTTTTGGGGATTTTACCTGAATCAGAACTATTATTTTTCTTTATTTTATTTTACTGATTTCAGTTCTATCATGGCTGATATAACCTTTTGTAATACAAAAGGTAACACTTTTGTTATTTTTATGACTATGAAAATTATTTTTTGCCTGATATTTCATTGTCACTTCCTGTTTCAGAGTTTTCATACTGTCTCTTGGATTGTCTAAGAGTTAATCATAATTTTGTTTTTGTATTTGCTGTCTGTGCTCCCCACCCACCTTGGAGTTTGTTCTTAAGATACGCTTTCAGGGAGGAAGAATCCTATTTGCCCTGATCCATCAGGGCTACACAGACAGTATAGTCATGTTGAATGTGGTTGTATGCACCTCCACGCCCCCCACCATATCTACCCAAGTGCAGCATGGTGTAAGGAGTCATAGCTGTTCTCTTTCATCCCAACTAGCCCTTGCCACAATGTGACTAAGCAATTGGCTATTCCATCCACCCGTCTATCCCAGGTTTGGACTGAAGTGGCATGTGGAAACTCCTGGCCATTTTATACCAGGTCAGGAGTCACTCGGTCACTAGGACTCCGTTCCTGGGCATCATGGGTTGTCACCCATGGCAAACAGCTGGCCCCATTGAGGAGGATTTTTAGTTTTTAGAAATCAGTTTTCATATATGTGTGCTTTATATACTGCAGTTTTATGTATATTTTTGTATAAACATGTAGTTTAGGCATAGCATTTTGCATAAACAGTTTGTGGATTATGATTTTTGTTGATAGTTTAAATATCTATTTTTTATTTTCATTAAATTGTTTGTATGGAAAAAATATGTTATTTTTCATGAGGGCATCATCCTAGGTATAAGTGGATAGGTTGTAGGCCTACCGTATAAGTTGATGGCGTGTAAGTGAAGTTTTCTTCATACAAATAATTAATTTCAAATCCATCTTGCTTCTTATACTATGCCCGGTAGTAGTTTAATGTCCTACCCAGGACATAGATAAACTTGTTTTGTGAAAAGCCCATAATTGCAGATTAACTTCATGCCCAGAATGTGGATGCAGTTTAACATCATGCTCAGGACTTCATTAAATGCTGGGGTTTTTAGTGTATTTTTGATAAGTTTTATATTGATTATCTAAATTTCTCTCAAGTTAATTAGTTATGGAATTTACAGGTAAAATAATAAGCCTAGTTTTTGTGTTTATACAATGTTTTTACTTTTTGGTTTTGTTGATTACGTGTAGTTTTTGCTTGGCATTTTTTTTTTTTTAAGTAACAGGGTTAGTGGAGGATTTTAAAAATATTTTCAATCTTCTTTAAGTAAATATGGAGCTGAAAATTTTAAGATATATTTGTTTACACTCAGTGGACACATAGTTTTAAACCAGTATCAATTCAGATTAACAGAATTCCAAGAACAAGGTCACTTTTTCATATATAAATTCAACTGTAGGTTTTATTTTATTTACTTTGAGATCTAGAATAGAAATTTAGTATTGTGTGGATATATTAGTAAAGCATCATTTATATTGCGGAAATATTCGGCATTTTGGAGTAAAAGTAAAAAAAAAATATCAAGAAATCATATTATTACTGTAAATCAAGTTTTGTCTTGCTAAGTAGATTTTGAATAAATCTGTTTTTTTCTGATAATGTTCATTGATCAGGAAACATGTCAAAATAAAAGTTTTACAAATTGTATATATATTTACCATACAAGGCATATTCTGAAGAACTTTGTCAGGGCAAATTTTGTTGCTCCATGTAAAATGAGAACAAATGGAGTTCAATTCCGACATTCGTAACATTCAATTTAAAAGAGTGCTCAATACAAAAGTAGAGCAATATTCTTTATTTTAGGATATTACATCAAAACATGTAAAAAAAAAAATGCTACACAAATGCAATCATGTTTCGATGCATATTAGCACATCTCATCAGGCAAATAAGTGGTTAATAGACAATTTATTGAAATTTAAAATCTACATATATATATATATATACATTGCAATATCCTCCATGTTAGTGGGGCTTAAGTTCTCAATATATTTTGACTACTAAACAAAGTTATTTTCATATAATAATGATAATAATAGTAGTAAAGAAGTGTTTTTTTATTATGATTTGCTGATGTGCAATTAACTGATGTTTGCTAAAACCTTACAAATTGCTTTGGTATAAATATGCCCCCCAAAAATAGCAAACCCATTTACCTTATTGAGGGTTATATAGAATGGGGTTTCCTCACAGCCCATTCTGGCAGCCAGTTGATACATAAGAGGAAGAAACTTGGATGTCTTCAGGCGATTCAAACCTTTTTTCTATAACAAAAAAAACAACATCCATTTAGTAAAAAAAAACAAAACAAATAAAAACTCATGTTATAAGATGATCTTTTATGGATACCAGCCATTTAGAAGTTGGTGAGATTTCTCTGACCTGATCCATATTGCAGCAATGATTCAAAACAATTCATAGATGATGGTAATGAAGGCAGTGAAGGCAATGATTGTCTGGCATTAGATGACAAAACATTTTCCCCAATATGATATTAGAGAAAAATATCATGGCCACAAGTGGTTAAGATAACAAATTTATGCCATTAAAAGATATCATTTGAAATGAAAAAAAATATGAAAGAATAGTAAAAATGTGAATAAAATATTGTTGTTATGAACAGCAAAACATAGATTTTCATTAAGTAATTTGTTGGAGGCAATTTAAAAAATGTTTTTAATACTCAGCTTCATACATAAAAAAAAAAAACATTAAATTAATTATGGGATTTAATTAATTTCTTTATCTAAATCTAAATAATTAAAATTGAAAAGAAAATATTGTTTGCATTTGAAGATAAGTTAGTTTTATCACTATGTCGTTATTTTATCTGAAGCCATGTTCAAGGTTCCCACTCAATCATTTCCAGGACATTTTCTAAATTTTCCAGCACTCATTTCATAAATTACCATTATGTCTAACCAGTTTTATGATGTAGTGTTATAATGAAGTATCATGGGTTCATTACTGACAAAGTATATAACCCAAAAGTAAAAAAAAAAAAAGGGAAGTTCCCGTTAGTCCTGTTTGGTTAGTTGTTCTTTCCATTGCTAACTGTTCTGGAAATGGCTGATTGAAATGTCTACATTGAATTAAAATGTAAAAGTGAACTTCTTTTCTAAATTATAAAATAACTTTTTTTTCAAAAAAATATTAAAATTGTGGTGAATTAGTGGGTTTAATTAGCTTAAATAACAGAAAAACAATTACTAGAAACTTTTTTTCAGGTGAACTTGAACGGATCTTTATGCAGAAATTCACCAAAATTTCTTTAATGAATAAACTGAACCCTATGACCTGTAATCACAGTTTTATTGTTATTAAATTAATACTTATCAAAGAACAAAGTTTCTTTAAATGAATATCCCTTTTTATGAGGTGTAATCTTTTATTCAAATAAATACTGTTTATTTTTCCAGATAATCTTTTTCGTGAATGAAATTTATGATTTTTCTCAGATATTTTTAACTAAAAATAGTTGTTAAACCTTTTTATCCATTTGCTGAATAGTTGAATGATGTCAGATATGATAGGATAATTATTGATTCTGATAATTTATTTCAACTTAATTTACAGAAGTAGCAGTCAGGACAGAAATGTCAAGAAGTGTAAGTTTAAGAAGGAATGGAATGTCAATCCTGAGTTCAAGACCTGGATAAGACATGTGGCTGGTGATGTTCACTGTCTATATTGTAAGATATGCCAAAAATCATTTCATATTAGCAACATAGGATTATCTGCCATTAAAAGTCATGCCAAAGTTCAGGGACACAAGGCTAGAGTAGATCAAGGCAGTGAATCGCGAATGACTGATTTCTACAATCAACCTTCCACCCAGAATTCTCTGTCATCGTTGCCTGCTTGCCAAGCAGGTAACAGAGGCAGAGAGTCAAGAGAGTAGAGTAGTCCAACCATCGACTTCTGAAAGATCTGCTTGGTGCTAAAAATGACCCTGTCTCATTTTTTTTTCAACTTCTGTTTGGATTTGGGCATGTTGCTTGCTCAGATGTTTTCTGACAGTGACATTGCCAAAGAATTTGCATGTAGTGCAACCAAATCAGCACACCTGATTTGTTTTGGCTTGGCACCCTATTTCAGAGAGGAACTTATATAGGGCATGAGACAATAAAATTGCTATTTAATTTCATTTGATGAATGCCTGAATAAAGTTACTCAGACTGAGCAAATAGATTTAATTATTTGGTACTGGAATGAGCATGAAGAGAAGGTAGTAGTAAATTACCTGGACTCTCAGTTTATAGGACATACCTAAGCAGAGGTGCCTGTTGAGAGAATGAAGAGTTCTCTATCTCCACTTGATCCAAACAAGCTCCTATAAATATCTACGAGCAAACTGAAAAGTTTATGAGATTATTTGAGGAGGACAAAAGCAAGGAAGCTCCAAATGCTCAAAAGTTAGTAAAGCTTGGGAGCTGTGATCTTCATAGAGGTTCATGGGAGTTTTCAATGTTGTCAGAAGGAGACAGGATGAAAGATTGATGAAAGCCTAAGAGCTCATTGGCATATTTTTCATGATACACCAGCTAGGCAGGATGATTTCATTGAAATCACAAAACCTCAAAATTTCCCCTCAAATTTTGTGCTCACAGGTGGATAGAAGATTTACCAGTAGCAGAGTGGGTCATTGAGATATGGTCATCTGTACAAAAAATTATGAATCACTACAAAAATTCTGTAAGGTGGCATCAGCACCAGTAAAAAAGGCTGTTGGTGACTCCTTTTTTTGAAGAGAAGCCAGAGTTTTTTGATCTATATGACAAAGCTGCCTAGATCCTTCCTTGAAGTTTTTCAAAAGAATGCCCCCCCCCATGGTGCCTTATGTGCCAAAAGAGCTTAAATACATCCTGGTTAATTTGCTTTCATGCTTCATGAAGGGAGATGTAATTGAGGCCAACAGTAAACCCTTACAATTGCTCAAAATTAATGTGCTGAACAAAGAGCTTCATGTACCATTAAAAGAGGTTGACATTGGCTTTGCCACCAAACATGCTGTTATCAAATCCTCTGAGAATCTTCCTGGCAACCAACTGTAGGGCATACAGTTCAGGAAAGAATGTCTAACCTTCCTCTCTAGAACAGCAAAGAATCTGCTGGAAAAATGTCCAGTGAATTATGCAGCAGTAAGACATTTAAGATTTCTTGATACTTTGTTCATGATTAGTGAACAGAGGAGTGCCATATTCCAATTTGAAAAGCTCCTCCAGCCGCTTCTGAATGCCAAATGGCATAATGCACAGCAATGTGACCAAATTCTTGCTGAATATAAAAAAAATACTCACTGAGATAATCCAAGAAAATAAAAGAAGATTTCCTAGAGTTTAACTACAGAAGTAGCTCCTGTTGAATAGACATATTTCTAGGAAATTTTTTAAACACATTTTGAAATAAAGTGCTTTCTTGCAAACTTGACTTTTACAAATTCAGATTAATTCTGTAAAAACAATTTTCCTAGCCATAGTCTCAGTGATAACAAACTGACATAATTCCTGAAAGTGGGGAGGAGGTGAATCTGCTTGTAATACCAAATCCTATAGGTTAAACTGTGGTTAATCTTGGTTTCAAATTCTAATAATAACTCATGTCAATGATTTTATTACTCAAACTTTAGTTTTCATTAATATTTTCAATACTACCATAACCTTATTATGGCTATTAGAGTTGAAGGACCTTGAAAAAGAATTCAGTTGAAGGGGACATAATACTGGTGCAACATTCTAAAGATTAAAAGTTTCTTGATAAAAAAGAAAATTATTACAATTGTCATTTACAGAATTGCAGGAAAAGATACATTATTTTCATTTTAATATAATCAACGAGTTTCTCTGAAAGATTCAAATCTGATACTTCAGTTATTTCCCACCTTATTAAATGTTTAAACTAATTAAAAAATTTTTGCGTCAGACCCACTGTCTTCCCAAATGATGAGAGGAAAAAGATCATTCAGGCCTTCAGTAATGGTCCCAACATTCATACTCTGGCTTCCATCTTCAAATTCCATTCAAGAACCATCAAGAGAATGGTGAATAAGTTTAAAAAAGGGAACAGTAAAGAGGAAAACTGGATCATGACGTTACAATAGGAAGAGGGATCTTCATTTCAACTTAGAGAAAAAGATTAGCTAAAGAGATCAATTAGAAAAGATTCAACTCAATCTATAAGACGTTTAGCATGTAAGAGAGAAGTTTCAGCTATGACAGTCCAAAGAGCAGTGAAAAAAGACTTGAAAATAAAATTGTACATGAAACATGTGTGGCACCTTGTTATTCCAGGACAGAAAATTAGAAGGTTAGAGAGGGTGAAAATCATCTTGAATAAGTTGGAAAATGATCCTGGAATAATACATATATATTTGAACTTTAGTTCAATCCTTCATGAGTTTCTGATCCTTAGTTATTATTAGTTAATGATGAACATGTCATTTTCATTTATGATCAATTTCATCATGATTCTTCTGTTAAGCTTGGAGTATAATTATACATTCTTATTGCTCAAAGTAGAGTCCAATAAATTGAAAAAAAAAAAAACCTTGGAGAATTCTAGTAAGATATCTTTAATCATTTCTAAGATATAACAAATGCTTAATTTAACAATTGGACAATTTTGCTTTTACACCTGGTGTCTAATAAATATATATATATATATATATATATTGAAAACTTTTATAAATTTGAACCAAGTTTTAAAACCAGTATCATTCTTTTTTTTTTTAAACAAAAAAGTTTTTTCTTGCAAAAATTAAACAAATGCAGTAAATTTGATTTTTTTTAGATATTCTTGTGGTAGTACAATTCTGAGTTAATGCATGATTGCATAATATGTGAATCCAAAGTTGTGCTATACATGATAAAAATATAATCAAAAATCTGCTATATTTATGATTGAAACTGTTATCAGGAACAAGAAATATGTAATTATAAATTTGTGCTTTTAGGTCAACATTTTTATGTCATGGAATCATTTTTTCAGATTTTTTCAACTGAACTAGTAGGACTTATATTTTCTTCAAAATATATTTTTAAATAGGTTGATTAAGATTTAAAAGACACTTCTAAAAAAAACACCACTTTCTCTTTGAATATTTAATTTACAATAAATTTTTTATCTGTATGCAAGTAGTTTGCTTCAGTATATGTTCTTTTTAAACCATTCCCAAGTGAAAATACAAAAGAATGTTACCTGTGTTTTATAGATTTTGAAAAAGTATTTGACAGTTGCATTTCTTTTTCCAAAAATAATTTACTAG